GGAGCTGGAATGGATCATACTTAATGAAATAAGCCAGAAAGAAAAATAAAAATACCAGATGGTTTCACTCACAGCAGGAGCATAAAGGACCAGGGGACAAAAAAAATAATAAAAACAATAATGAATAACTATATACCAGAGACATTTTACGGGGGTGGAGTGGGGAATGGGATCAAAAAAGGAGGGGTGCAGGCGGAGTGCATGGGACTATAGTGATGGCACATGGGTGAATTGGTGATGGGAAACCCACGCGGATTTCAACTGAGATGGAAAAAGGCACAAAATGATGTAAAAATAAATTATTAAATAAAAATAGTTACCACTGTTACAGTCAATACACTAGAATCTCCTGTCCTTATTCTATAAAGATGGAGAACTTAGCAGTGGGGGTTCTTGGTCCTAGAGACTTGGCCATGTTCATATAAATCATGCCCAGTGTAAGTTAGACTTTTGGAGGATAATGAGAATTGCTTCTGTGATATTCCTACCCCAAATTTGTTCATCTGAATCTACTCATAAAGACAAGACAAACCCAAATCAAAGGATATTCTAGAAAATAAGTAGCTAGTGCTTTTCAAGAATAGCAATATCATTATATACAAAGTCAGACTCAGGCACTACTAAAAGGAGACTAAGGTGAAATTGTTAAGTGGGTGGATTCCACAAAACTCTGCAGAGTTCTTTTAGGACATCCTTCCCCTTAACAAGATTACTAAAAGCAATAGAAGACCAAGCATGTCTTTTTGTTATAGAGAATATTCATGGGGCAATTGGTGGAATCTGAATAAGACCTATAGATGTTAATAATATCATATTAGTGTCAGGTTCTTGATTTTGATCATTGTAAAATATTTATCCAAGAGAATATTTGCTTGTTGAAAATACACACTGAAGCTCGTAGAGGGAAAGGATATATGTTAGCCATTACTCTTAAATGACTCAGTTGTGGAAGAGTAAAGAAAATATAGTGTTTGGGAATTCTGGGTGGAGGGGGTTCAGAATTAGGGAGCTATTTTTGCAATTTTTCTGCATCTGAATTTTTGTCAAAATGAAAATATTTTTGAAGCATTGCCCATAAGTAAATGATCTAAGTAATTCTGTTGTGAAAATCATTATAACTTAAGTCTCTGATGACTTCAATACTGATAAGCTACAATAGCTACTTTTAGAAAAACGAACCATGGGATAATTATTCTCTCCTAATATAAATTCTGAGCCATGAGCTCAAATTTATTTGAATAAATTTTAAAACATATCAAAATCATTTCTTACCCTTATTCTTCTATCTAGATCTTCCAAAATATAAAGTGTCAAACAAAGTCTGGCATTTGTATTTATCAGTAAGTTGTATTTTTTATGTCTGTTCATATTAAAATGCATTGGAAATTTTTTTATGTGACAAAGAAAGTTAATGACTATTTAATAAGTCTATAAGGAAATGTAGTATAGACTGGAGGAAAGAATATTCCATAGAGAATCAGGAAACATTCTAACTAACTACTAATAAAGTAATTTCATGGCTCTGGATTAGTTGCCATAACCGTAACTGAAAAGCAAGCAGATAAAAGTAGTAGAACAGTAAACATAGTAAACACTATGCGTTGGACAATTTATTTGAATCCAGACTCCTAGTTTCCTTTAGAGATGTAACAACATTCTAACACTTAGAATATAGCATTGTTATTTAAATGATCATAGAAATGTATCTTGTGGCATCTTCTTTTTAAGAAGTTGTTGGCCACTATACATGATGCATTGATGCTGTCCCTTGGGTAGGAACTTGCTGTGGGCTGGTGAAATGGGAAATGAATAGAAGACTTGTCTCTATCTCGTGGCCTCCACTCTGAGTGCTCACCCACTAGCTTTGGGCATGAATCATCTCCCTCCCAAGGCCAGATTCCAGTCTGTCCAAGCTGACTGCCTGACCTCCAGCTGCTGCAAAGTCCACTCTGGACAGCTATCTGGGCTTTCCATGTTGGTCTGCTTCTGCGCTGCACACCTGTGGCAGTGTTGTGAGGACAGGCAACCAGCCTTTAGCGTCACTTTGGATGTTCACTGGGTATGTGAGTGTTGTGGGCTGACTAATAGAGGAACAAGACCAAACCACTGTAATTAAATCAACACAGCATTTCCTGGAACAGAAGTTGAAAGAGAATGTTTGCAAGTCCCCCAAACTCCACCCATCACTAGAACGTAGGTTGAGGAAATTGCCTTTTCATCCTTGTTTCAAGTCACGTAGCATCAATTCTGTTGAGTTGACATCTCAAGAAGCCTCATCCTGGGCTGGACCATGCCGCTGTCATCCAATCTAAGGTGTGGGAATTCTAGAACCAAGGAGCAGAAGTAGATTCCTACTGCTTCTGTCCCAGGACGCTGGCTCGTTACACTCCAGCTCACTTGCTTAGTCTCATTTTGAATATGCCCCAGAGCGGCAAGGGGGCTGTCCTCACACTTCTTTGAGTTTGCATATGCTGTGTCCTGTCAAGAGTGCCATTACCCAGTCTCCACAACAAACTCAAACTTTGCAAATGAACCCAAGCAGTCACTTCCTCTCTCAGGGAGCCCCTGGCACCCTTCCAAACTCCTCCTACATTTTCTGTTTCCTCACCAATGAAAACATCAAATCATGTGTCTGTTTGTAGATTGCCTTGTCTGTCCTCCACGCTGGATCCTACAAACGCTTTGAGATGGATATCCATGAAGTTATCCTTGTGTAAGACTGACCTTAGGCTGAAACGTTTTGGGGTGGGAGTGATGAAGAACAGGCCTCTGTGGGAGTCTGAAGCCCTCTGGGCTTCACATAAGGACCAGATGAAACTTAAAATGGACAGTTTGACCTTTCCATTTTATGTCTCTCAACTGTGAGCAAAGCTGAAGGCGGCTGTAATGGTAGCTGTAACAGGTGCCCACCCACTTCAGTGAACGATTAACCACTCATACTGGTGCACACAGGAAACTTCACAGGAAATCTTATTTCAGCTCAGTCTCTGCTCCAATTTAACCACAGTTTCAAAATAGCACAGATCTGGTGGAGATTGAGAAAGCAAAACTTCTTTGTTTAGCTATCAGTTAAAATTCTGCTTTTGCTTAAACCAGTTTCAAACCATTTTTTTACATATCTGATATTTTTTATGACTTCCCTTGGGAGTTTTTTTTTTTTTCAAAATTAAAGTTTTTAAAAAAGAAGTAAAGGGTGTCAATTGGATGGTAGTGGCTAGAAACTGGATTTTGGGTGGGTATCATAATTTATTGACAGTATATACAAATCTTGGATTATAATACTGTACACTTGACATTGTATATCTATAGTTGCAAACAAAATTTTTAAATATGATAATTTACATTGAATGGTGGCAAATATTATAATTATGTTGGTGGGAGTGGGTGATACAGACACATGTCAAGGTGAGAGACTTCTCCCAACACATTCAGAGTATGGCACACCACCGATAAATCCATACAAATTTTATTTAAAAGAATCAGCCAACCCCATTCTCCTGCCTCTACCTCTTTCAACAGAAACAGAGGTCTGTTTACTCTCGCAATGCTTACAATGGTCCAAATATTTCTCTGTCCCCTGAGATGACTTTCACCTCCACCTCCAAATGGCCTCTGGTAACAGTGTTAATAGTCATACCCTGTTTTTTTTTTTTGTTTGTATGTTTTTTGTTTTTCTAACTAGCATCTTATCTCCTTCAAATTTGTCTTTCTGAAAATGAAATCCATACTTAACACATAAGTTCTACTGACTGTCACAGGGGCCTGGGGCCCCTACCTGGAATGTTCTCACCTGGCCTACTAGGTTGGCACCAGACCTACTGTGGGCATCCAGAAGTGCTCAACTGAGGCACACGCAGGGCTGGGAAAGCCCATTCTCCCTCTCCTTGAAAGCGCACAGTGGGTGGTCTCAGGAGATGTTTAGCGCCTGTTTATTGAATGAATTCATTTAAAAAGTCTAGTCTTCACTTTTTAATTCAAGAATCCATTGCCCCTGTGGTGCTCTGGAATCTGGAATCTTTTTCTCTATTCCCAATCCTCACTGTCAAGTGCGTGGTGTAATCCTAGAGGGCTTTTCTCTCCCCCCAGCATGTACTCAGGAGAGATGTATATAGATCTAAGGAGAAAGCTCTTTTAGCTTTTGTGGTGACCTCACTCCAGCAACTATGGTGGCCACAGAAAGCCAACGCGAACTATCACTTTCTGAGTTCATGAGCTCTCAATCATTAGTGATGAGACACGAAACATTGGGGAACATTGAAATATCGGGTTTTGTTAGTTGGTGTATGTCATATTTTATTTATCAATGTGAGGCTTGTAGATCAAGGTTATGTTTATTTGAGAGAAAAATACCAGTTACAATGTTCTTCCTGTCCTTTGAAAATAATCAAATTAGGCATCCCTTAGAGGTGGTAGCTCTATCAACTCTCAAAATACAGGTACTGACCATGTCATGTGTTTCAGATTCTGAACCAGGTGTTGGGATTTGTAGCTGTCCTTCTATTTGTGGGAATCGTAATGAGAATCACAAGCTTGAGATTTGAACATTTCTCTAGTGAAGAAGACCTGCGTCACCTCGCTGCTTTTCTAAATGGCTCCAGCTGTCAGGTCTCTCTTCGTTTAAAAATAACAAGACCAGAATTTTTGAGAAAATGTCTCCAACATCATCAGGCCCAGAAGATTCCAGGCATCAGAAATGACCATTCAGAGAAATTCAAGTTCCAAAGCAATTTGAGCCCCTGAGTGTTCTGACCCAAAGAGATACCAGTTAATGGGAGCCTGGTTAATTAAAAGTCTTTCTAGCCTGATAGCACTTGAGGATTAGTAGGGACTTGCTAATCTTTTTACTTCCTGGAATAAATATTTTTGAAGCAGAAGTCACGGTAGATCTTAGGGTTAATGAGGCAAACGGAGACTCTGAAGAACAAACACCATAGTCGGTAAAATGGCTCCAGTCTCTGCTCTCAATAATAATAACAACGACCAAAAGTCATCGACCTTACCTTTTGGAGGCACTTTTCCTCAGTCCTTTAGGCAGAATTGGTGATTATCCTCGAGGAGCCAAGGCAAGGCTGGTGACAGAGCTATCGGGGCTATTTGCGCAAAAGGAGAAGTGAGGGGTTATTATAAATGTGTCACATCTGACGACAGGAAACACAGTAGGGAGGAGGAAGTAGGGCTGTGCACCCTCCTAACCTCTGAGATACCATCCTTCTCTGGCATTTTAGAAACCTGCGTCTCTGACTCACCAGAACAACTGAACTAGTTTCTATAATATATGGGAAACTCAAAGGCCAGTTTGGTTCAGGCAGTCATATGTGAACATTGGTGTGCTCTGGGCATTGATTTTTGTTTATAACTGGACAGTGCTTCCTAATTAGGGTGACATCTCAGAATTACTTGGGGATCTGTTCAAGAACAAGTGTGACTGGCCCCATCATCACCGTTTCCCACTGACAAAATGGAGTGAACCCAAGAACCAACATCTTCACAGGTTTTCTAAGACCGAGGCGTAAGAATGTCCCTGATATCACTCCACCTCCTCCCCACCCTTGCTCCAGCAGCCTTCCAGAAGTTCTCCTATTTGATTGGGTCATTGATTTCAGATTTGTCTCAGTTGCTGGACCAAACTTTAAAAAAGGTGTCAACAGGTTCACACATGAAGGGGGCACTGGTAGAATTGATTTAGTTCATAGAGGAAGCCCTAGTCACAGAGGCCCCAAATTAGAGTTTCAGTCCCAGCTTCATCTGTTAATTGAGATACACTGGGCACATCGCAACCTCTCAGCTTCAGTTTGCTAATGGTAACATCTGATAATATAGTTACTGCTATGACCCATTCATAGATAAGGAAGATAGTCAAGTAATTTGCCCAACATCAAACAATTAAGAGATGGCAGCGTTGGGATTCCAATGCAGGGTCATAGGAAATGCTATCTTAGACATAAGACCACCAGTAGATTTTTGAAAAGGATATTTTTAATTCCCACTCTGTGGTGTTTACTGGGATTTTTCTAGAAAGGACAAATGGATTGGTAAGAACTCCAGTACTTCGTGATCCAGCTGTGAAACTGGGAACCAATCACTGTGCCCACTTTTCACATCTTATAAACAAGGAGATGGACATTGTCCCCTGCTTGCCTTAGAAACATCCTGTTGTGAAAGCTAGCTGTCTCTTTCCCTTTGCCCTGAGACACTCAGGTTCTGGAATAATCTCGGACTAGAACTAGATCCTGGGGGAAAAATTAAAGTTCTTTACTGCAGAACTTGACTGTCCTTTATATTCTCTTAATAGTCTCTAAACTTGGATGTAGAGAATTCAAATATAAAATTGTTCAGAATTTCCCAAACTCATTTCATCAGGGACCAATGAGTGTGTGCTTTCCCTCCTGACCACAGTCTGAGGAATCAACACCCTTTACGGTGAGTTGCCCTTATGGTCACAGTGACGACTCCCTGCAGTGGAGGAGCTGAGCAGTGACTGACCTCCTTGACTCACATTTCCTGTTGTCTCACTTCACCCGATAGCTTCAGTTACTGCCTCTGTAAGAAAGATTTGCAAAGCTCTGTGCACAATCTGGTTACTCCACGCAGGCACCCAAAATCCAGCAAACAAACTCACTTTAGTGGACTCAAGCCTGATCTTTTGGTATTCACACCCTAGGGAAAGGCCTAGCCTCACCTTCCTCTAGGGGCTCCCTAGAAGCCAGGTCTCCTCTTAGGTTCCTCTCTCACACATTATCACCAAGGCTTATAAATTATACCTTTGCCTCAATAGTTCACTAATTAGGCTATTGCTCTCCAACTCCAGAGTGAGTATACAATCCTTATCTCTCACTTGGGTTACCTACTAGAGTCCAGCCTTCTCAAAATCATCTTGGATATTTTCTCACTCAACTCAAAGGAATTGACTCAAATTTAATCATGTCAACCCCCAGGTAAAAACTATTGTAAGGTGTCCAATAGGTTTTAAGCAGCTCTTATTAACTCCTCATGGGTACTTCTTCCCCATCCCACACCCTTGGTTCCAAAACACTGGACACTGAATTCCTTTGAGTGTGAACAAATAAGTTTAGTTTCTGTCTTGATCGCTCTCATCTGTTGCTTAGTCAACTAACTTCTACTCATATTGCACATTTTCTCAAGAAAGCCCTCTAAGCAGGACTAGGTATTCCAACTTTATACTATCACTGCATCTAACATTCTCCTATCATTCATTGCTTTTATAGTTGTCTGTTTTCCCTTCTGAATTTAAAATGCTACAGATAGGTTGTGTGCATATTGAATGATTATATCTATTCTGTATGAGGTGTTCATAAATATTTGAATAACATCAGTGAGAGTGAAGTCTATAGGTTAAAGGAATACAGATTTTGAGATGGGAAGGAGAGTAAGAGAGAGAGAGGATTTGTAAGATTATCAAGAAGAATATCTGAAGATAAGAGTTAGTCACCACAGAAATGGATGACAATTTTAGTGGGGAAAATGTTTCCTTTACTGTGCTCCTTCACAACCCATTGGGGAGGGTGGAACAAGTGCTTCGAGCCAGAGAAGGGTCAAGAATTGTAATCCACTTGGACCCAAACTTATGAGATTTATTGAGCATTAATACTATTTCTAATCTTGGGATGTTTATAATCCATTTGGAGGAACAGGGAGGAAAAATCAAATGGAGACTGAGACAGTTTCAGGGGAGTCCATATTGTTGAATAATCCAGAAGAATGCTCAAAAAGCTCCAGATTTGGTCTGCTCAAGGGTTTCTCAAGAACGCCCTCAAGAAAGGAGGCTTTCTCAGTGTACAATACATTGGTTAGGCATCATAGGTGGTCATGGAACAGGACAATTCAAGACAGAGTGGAAAAAAGAAAAGGGGGATTTATTGATATACATGGCAGGGGAGTGTGTCGAGGCCAGAGAGGTCTTGTTTGGAGAGAGGGTCAAAGGCTTTATTTGTACTCCAGGTGTTACAGGGAAGCCCAGAGTGGACTGGGCCGCCTGTCTGTGGGACCTCACCCATGCGCTCACAATTCAGTTACACTGCAGGGACACACAAAAGGGTCAATAATGGGTTTATTTACAAAAGGGGAAAGGAATAGGAAACACAAAAGGGTCAATAATGGGTTTATTTACAAAAGGGGAAAGGAATAGGAAACAACCCAGGCAAAGAGAGCAGGATACAAAATAACTTCAATACCTTACGGCCAGGCTGACTGAACACACTGAGTCATGCGATCCAGAGAGCTGCTTCCTGAGCGAGAGAGCGCAAGATGCAATCGCGCCCTATTTATCCTCCAAAAATGTCCCAGAATTCCTGCTAGCTCCGCCCTTAGGTCCTCGCAGTTCTCTCCTTGGTACTGCTGGGAGTTGTAGTTTCCAAATCACTGGAGTAGGGGGTAGGGTCCAGAAAGCTGGAGTAGGGAGTGGAGTCCATAAGACTGCAGAGTTCCTTTAGGACATCCTTCCCCTTAGCACAGGCACCAGCACTTAGCTGGGATGTTTAGCCTTGAGGGTATCCTTGCTTGTGATCTGGATCATCTGTTTAGTGGCCTGGTTCCCATCCACTTCTCTTATCCATTCAACCCCCAAACCTGCCTTCTGGGCAAGGATGGGGAGCTCCTTACTAAGCAATGATACCAGGACAGACAAGACATCATTGGGTCCCCATTTAGTTCTCTTCTAGTTGAGTGTTTTTATTCTTTGAAAATAGTGGCTATCACAATATGAGAAGGAGTCCCAAGGTTTTCAACAAGTTACCAGGTATAGCATTTGGGAGGCATAGATGTGTGTGTGTGTGTGTAACTATATATGTATGTATGTATGTGTATATATATATATATATGAGAATTATAGGATCGGAAATTTCAAAGGGAAATTAAATTTACACATATGATTTTGCTTATGTTCCCCATAGTTTTTAAGAGAGTTTAATGCTTGTTTTTAAAAGGAAATTCTTCATGCAATTTGATTGCTTTATAAATGATTTACTAGAAATTAATATATGAAAAGATAGAAATTATATGTGTTTAAAATTCTTACATTTGGCTTCATATCAACTGGATATTTCTGAAGTTTCTTTTTTTTTTTTAAGATTTATTTGTGTGTACAAGACCTGGAGTGCAGGCAAAAGGTGGGATTAAAGCGATTTAGCAGAAACAGAGTAGGGAACACACCAGATCTACTGAAATACACTGCTGGGGGGAGCAGTGGGAAGACAGCAGAGGTCTGCTGCACCATGAGGGTCAGATCCTTGGCCGGGGATCAAACTCGTGCTGCAGGGGCTGCTGATAGCTTCATAGCTGCAACTTAACCTCTTGTACCACAGGGAGGCCCTATTTCTGAACTTTCAAAAAAGCATTGATACTGAAAAATAACTTAAAAGTCTGGGTTTCAGAAGTTGCTTACACGTTGTCCAGACTTCATAACCCAAGGTCTAAAAAATAAAGTAGTTATAATAAATTATAGACATGATGTAAAAAAGCACCAAATAGTTTAGCAGTGTGGCATCTGGGACAATGGAGGTTGGAGGTGGCTAGGGTGGGAGGTTGCCAAACCACTTCACATTGGGTTAAGTCCCAAAGGCCAGGTAGGGTCATGGTTCATTATCATAGTCAAAAAGAAAAACATTGCCCATGGCAGTTTCCATAACAACAATGCCATATGTTAGGCAGTTTTTAAATGACCAAATTCATTTCTCACAGTTCTGGAGGCTGGGCAGTCCAAGATCAAGGCACCAGCGGATACAGTATCTGGTGAGACACTAGGAATTAGAGTCCGTGTCTACTTCCTGGTTCATGACAAACCATCTTCCCCTGTCTCCCAACAGGCTGAAGGGGAGGAGGAAGCTCTCTGGTGTCTCTTTTATAAGAGCAGGGATTCCACTCATGTGGGCTCCACCCTCAGGCCCTAGTTAACCTAGTTATTTCCAAAGGTCCTACCTACTAGTACTATCACTTTGAGGATTAGGTTTCAAATACATGAAGTTGGGGCCAGGGACACAAATATTGAGTCTAGAGCATATGCCCACACAGGGAACACTGAATTTTGGAGCCTCAGGGCTAGAGTGTGGGGCAGTGAAACAGCAGGACCTTGGAAACA